ATCAAGTCTTAAGTCTCAGGCCTCAAGTCCGAGTCGAGTCCCAAGTCTTAGTCCGCTCACTGTGATTGGTCAGAGACGCTCTGACGTCAGCCAATCACAGACGACGGTGGAAGAAAGACGCAAAAACACGAAACACGACGACGAGAAAATATAAAATCATCATCAAATAATAGAAATGATTTTTTAAAGTGTTTTTACGAATTTGTCAGGACCAAAAAATTAAGAGGACGAGACGTTCAAGTCATGACCTGGACTCGAGTCAGACTTGAGTCACTATTTTAGAACTTGAACTCGAAGGTCAGTGACTCGGGACTTGAGTTGGACTTGAGGCCCGTGACTTGAGAAGCTTTTAAATCTGAATTGTTTCTGTTCTGATCATAAAGATTCACTCAGATTCTGTCAAAATGTTGAAAAGTAAATTTATAAATAAACCAGGACTTTTTATGAACAATTTAGTTTAAAATTCTTATAAATTACAAAAATCTAAACGGTATTTGGTGCTTTTTTTTTTTGGTTTAAAGACTTGAAATGACTTGAAGCTCAAATCAGATGACTTGGACTTGACATGGACTTGAGTTGGACTTGAGTTGGACTTATGGACCAGTGACTCGAGACTCGACTTGGACTTGTCTCTATTTGACTTGGGACTTGACTCGGACTCGAGGCCAAAGACTTGAGACTCACAAAACGACGACTTGGTGCCACAGGGAGCAACAACCAGAGGAACTGGAAAATCAGAGATTGACAGGTGGACAGGTGCAGGTGGGCAGGTGGACAGGTGGACAGGTGCAGCGTGGGCAGACTGACAGGTGGACAGGTGCAGCGTGGGCAGGTGGGCAGGTGGACAGGTGCAGCGTGGACAGACGGACAGGTGCAGCGTGGGCAGGTGGACAGGTGGCAGTGACAGGTGGGCAGGTGGACAGGTGCAGTGGTCTCTGTCTGGGTGGTTGTGGTGAAGAGGAGTTGAGTCTGGGTTTGGTTCGGGCGTCTCCCTTAGACACAGAGGTGGGAGCTCGGAGTAGAGCCGCTGCTCCTCCACGTGGAGAGGAGCGTCTGAGGGGAGGAGCTCGGAGTAGAGCCGCTGCTCCTCCACGTGGAGAGGAGCGTCTGAGGGGAGGAGCTCGGAGTAGAGCCGCTGCTCCTCCACGTGGAGAGGAGCGTCTGAGGTGAGGAGCTCGGAGTAGAGCCGCTGCTCCTCCACGTGGAGAGGAGCGTCTGAGGGGAGGAGCTCGGAGTAGAGCCGCTGCTCCTCCACGTGGAGAGGAGCGTCTGAGGTGAGGAGCTCGGAGTAGAGCCGCTGCTCCTCCACGTGGAGAGGAGCGTCTGAGGGGAGGAGCTCGGAGTAGAGCCGCTGCTCCTCCACGTGGAGAGGAGCGTCTGAGGGGAGGAGCTCGGAGTAGAGCCGCTGCTCCTCCACGTGGAGAGGAGCGTCTGAGGGGAGGAGCTCGGAGTAGAGCCGCTGCTCCTCCACGTGGAGAGGAGCGTCTGAGGGGAGGACGTCTGTTCTGACGTCTCCTGGACGTGTCCCTCAGGAGGTGTTCATGTCCCAGCGGGAGGAGGAGAAGACCCAGGACACACTGGAGGGACCATGTCTCTGGACTGGACTGGGAACACCTCAGGTCCCACTGGAGGAGCTGGAGGAAGTGTCTGGGGTGAAGGAAGTCTGGGAGTCTCTGTTCAGACTGATGCTCCGAGACTCGACCCCAGAGAAGAAGAAGAACATGAAGAACATGAAGAACATGAAGAACATGAAGAACATGAAGAACATGAAGAACATGGAGGATGTTTCCACCTGTAAATTCTCTCACTGAAAATCTTCTGTGTTTTTCTGTTTTTCTTTGTTTTTCTCTTTGTATTTTCTTGTTTTTATGAACAGATGATAAAAAAACTGCGTCGGCTGAATAAGACAAAAATCACTTTTTTAAAAAAATGTTTTAATGAAATTCTAGTTCTTCACATTCAGAACCAGGGGGAGAAACATTTAAATTCACATTTTAAAACAAAAAACTAAATAATAATAAAACAGTCGAGTCGTTCGTTAGTGGTTCGTTCACTTCGTTATTTCAGATAAAAACCTACAAAAGCCACAATCTGGAACTTTTCTGACGCGTCGGGGAAACGTCCTGCTGTTTCCTGGTCCTGGTCCCAGTCTTGGTCTTGCTCTTGGTCCCGGTCCTGGTCTCGGTCCTGGTCCTGGTCTTGGTCCCGGTCTTGGTCCTGGTCCCGGTTCAGTCCTGGTCTTGGTCTTGGTTCTGGTCTTGGTCTCGGTCCTGGTCCCAGTCCCGGTCTTGGTCCTGGTGTTGGTCTTGGTCCCGGTCTTGGTCTCGGTCCTGGTCCTGGTCTTGGTCCCAGTCTTGGTCCCGGTCTTGGTCCTGGTCCCGGTCCCGGTCCTGGTCTCGGTTCAGTCCTGGTCTTGGTTCTGGTTTTGGTCTTGGTCCTGGTCTTGGTCTCGGTCCTGGTCCCAGTCCCGGTCCTGGTCTCGGTTCAGTCCTGGTCTTGGTCTTAGTCTCGGTCCGTCTAGGTTAGTGTCTTCGGTCCAGGTCCAGGTCCGGTCAGGTCAGGTTCAGGTCAGGTCCAGGTCCAGGTTCAGGTCCCGGTCCAGGTTCAGGTCCAGGTTCAGGTCAGGTTCAGGTCAGGTTCAGGTTCAGGTCCCGGTCCAGGTCCAGGTTCAGGTCCAGGTCCAGGTTCAGGTTCAGGTCCTGGTCCAGGTCCTGGTCCAGTTCAGGTCCAGGTTCAGGTCCAGGTCCCGTCCAGTCCAGGTCAGGTCAGGTCCAGGTCAGGTCCAGGTTCAGGTTCAGGTTCAGGTCCAGGTTCAGGTCAGGTTCAGGTCCAGGTCCAGGTCGGGGTCAGGTCAGGTTCAGGTCCAGGTCCAGGTTCAGGTCCAGAGTTCAGGTCTGGGTCCAGGTCCAGGTTCAGGTCCAGGTTCAGGTCCAGGTCAGGTTCAGGTTCAGGTCCAGGTTCAGGTCCAGGTTCAGGTCCAGGTCCAGTCAGGTCAGGTCCAGGTCCCAGGTTCAGGTCCAGGTCCAGGTTCAGGTCCAGGTTCAGGTCCAGGTCCAGGTCCAGGTTCAGGTCAGTCAGGTCCAGGTCCAGGTCCAGGTCCAGGTCCAGGTCCAGGTTCAGGTCAGAGTTCAGGTCCAGGTCCAGGTCCAGGTCCAGGTCCAGGTCCAGGTCCAGGTCCAGGTCCAGGTTCAGATCTTGTTCTGGATCATTCTGGAGTTGAGTTTGTGGAAAAAGGCTTTGAGTTTACAGAGGTGACACTTTCCTCTCTTCCTCTTCTCCTTCTTCTTCTTCTTGTTTCTGTCTTTCTTCTCTCCTCCGTCGCTCTTCCTCTGCTCCTCCTCCTCCTCCTCTCCTCCTCTGCTCCTCCTCACTTCCTCTTCTCCTTCTCCTTCTTCTTCTTCCTCCTCTGGGATCCATGGTTCCCAGGCTCCTCTGCGTCTCCTCGGATCGGCTCTGCACAAAAACACAAAACCAAATCAAAACCAAATTGAAATTCTTTATTTTCACTTTTTAACCTCAGTGGGATTTTTTGGGGGGAATTTGCTAAACTCTGTATTTTTGGAAAGTTTAAAGTTTATGGCAGGAGAGTCAAACTCATTTTGTTCCGGGGGTCGTGTCCAACGACTTTGATCCAAAGTGTCCGGATCAGAAAACTCAATGTCATATAAACCCCAAAAATAACAATAAGTTCAAATATTTGTGCAGAAAAACGCAAATGTATTACAGAAATCTTTTTTAAATTGATGAACTCTTTCTTTTACAAAATATTATATTATTAAGAACCTGAAACTTTAAGAAAAATGCAATTTCAACACAACGTTTTAACATGAACTTGTATAAACAGGAATAAGTTCATTTTTGTTGTAAAATCCTGCACTCGGCTCCACTTTTCTCATGTTGGACATTTTTCTGATGAGGGTGTCACGGTC